CTTTGGACAGATTAGGGCCATTTAATGATGATTTGACATGAAAATCTTACTGCTACTTTAACCCTTTAGGCGCCAGAAGTTTTTTCCTAACAGCCTCAATTTTGACATCTTCATTTCTTAACAACTTAAAAATGATAAGAGATTGAGGCCTTACGTAAAATAGTGAAATTATAGGGTTGGCCCAAAGTTTATGGAAGGAAATAAAAATGTACAAAAGTGTCAAATAAGGCGGCACATCCCAATGGTCTGAACTAGCGTGCTGGATTAAAAAAGTGCAAAACGTGAAAATAGTGAAAAATCCGCACAGTTATGTTGCTCCCAATCAGTGTCTTTTACTTACAGACCACGCTGAGGCCATTCTAGAAATAAAAATGTACCCATCTATTTAGCATATTATGACTTCATGGTGGTGGCAATTGTGGATGTTCATGAAATATGTATATACTGTATATTTATTGCTGACCAACACAAATCACTAGGACATGAACACACAAACAGAACTCACATTTATTGTACCACACAGCTGCTCAGTCGGTAGAGCACTGGCCTTCTCCACCGATACCACTAATGTCTGCTGTCGTTGTGTCCTTGGGCAAGACACTGAACCCACTTTGCCTATAAGGAGCGCGGAAGTAATGTTTGCTGCATGCCTTGATGTGTGTATGTGTGTATGTGTATTCATCAATCTGAAATTTCCCACTGTGGGACGAATAAATCATTGTGTGGCAGCGAGTTTGACTGAATTTTGCAACAATTAAACAGTACCGTTTAATCTCATGTTAAGTCAACCATGGCGTCTAGAGGGTGAAATATTTGCATCAGTTTTAGCTGGTCTTGTGCCGTGACATTTTTTCCAATGCAAAATGGTGTTCTACTGCTCAAAAAGGTTGGGGAGCACTGGTGTAAGGAACAGGCACTAAGGTTTCTAGCTTGAAAAATTGTTGTTTTTGCTCAGTAAGAACCAGCCGTCTGTCCAGTACCTTCCACGCTGTTACAACTGGTCATCAACCAACCAGACTCGCCGTAACCAGCACCGGCACAAACAATGGCAGCGCTGGTATAACTCATGGGCTTCAAAACAAGACTGGTGTGAAGGGCCTTGTTTACAGGACAGCTCATTGTGGAGAGCACGTGTCCTGCTGGGACGGATACACAAATTGCAGACACTGGGGGTGAAGGAAATGGCTTCTTTTGAATTCTCCAAAACAAAAGAGATCTGCTCATTCCTGGACGTCTGTGTGGGAAATAGAGCGGGTCAAAGGGACGGCCGGTGTCGCACAGTTTGAGAAAGACTGAGTAAATCTTATCACTTGGTAAAATGTGGACAAAGGAGCAAAGGCAGACAGGATGTGTGGAGGGATGTGGACTTTTTAACATGGTTGGAACACTCATACATTTCAGTGCAATTCTGAAGCTGTAGAGAATTATCATCAACACAATGTATTTTTGTTCAGGCTAAAAATAGTATGATTACGAAATTAACAGTAAAATGCTGTTTAAGTGGATTAACAGGAACACACAGCTAAATCCTGAAATCACAAAGGCATAATGTGATTCAGTGATACAGTATTTAACCGTTAATATTAGTAACAGAAATGCCATGTTGAGAAAACGCTAAAACCCTGGAACCATATTTGCCAGCTTTTTACAGTTTTTCTGCAAGGACATTTTTTACATTGTGGGCCTCCCTGAGATTTCTCATCTTTGCACTACACTGGGTTTAGAGCTTTTCTTTGCCGATGCAGGAGGGTCTGTTGGAGCCTCCTCAACTTAAAGGGGACATATCATGAAAAATCCACTTTTTGTGCCTTAAATGCCATATGTTGTGTAGTTGGAGCCTCTAGAAGTGCAAAAAAGTTGAAATCAGTCTCTTCATGGGTTGCAGAGAACACTTCATATTCTGTTTAGGTAAGATTTTTCAACCCGTTCTGATATTGCCATTCTCTATTACGTGTTTAGAATTATTACGTCACAGTATTTGCAGCGAGACTGCTATATAAGGGCATGGGCGTCTAACAAAACACTTCGACCCAGCCCTCCTCTACTGTGCATCACTTAATTTGTAGTCCAAGCTCAAGGATGCCAGCGAACAGGGCTGGACTGGCCATCGGGCGTACCGGGCAATGCCCAAAGGGCAATGCCCATATTTGGGCCGGTCTCTCTGCCTCATACAAAACACATGTTTATGAGAAGTGTAAATCCGTTGAGAATTGTTGGAGCGGGGCGCGCGTATCCGCGGGGCACTTGCTGTATATACTCGAACGGGATTCCGCCACCTCAGCGGCCGCAGTGTTCCGGGGCATCTGCGGCCGCTTTGTAATGAGCAGCTTCCGCGTCCAGCGGCTGCGAGAGGCTGTGAGCGTCCAGCCGCTCGCAGCCGCTCCACCGTGTTGTGGCTGAGCGCTCAGCCTCAACGTGGCCATGTACCCAACCCCATAAACGCGCACAGGACCATGCATGTCTTTGAGTAATCTGTGCACCCAATAAATACACAGCTGCAGGAAACAGTCCGCGTCTCCCCTCTCCTCTCGAAGCGCGAATAAACGCCCTAAATAAAGCTCTGATACCTACATTTTGCATTGCATTAAAAGTTCATGTTTGAGCCCAAAAGTAATATGTTGTGAACAAATTAAACAGATTTAGAGCCAGCAAATGGCTGACAATATGCATTACAGTCTTTTTTGACCAATTCTCATCCCTGTAACAAACAATCGTGTTGTCTGTGTCCACCTCCCTCACTCTGAGACATGTTTATTACTCTCTTGTAATGTAGACTATTGCATTTTATTTTATTGTTGAAACTGCACATATCCTACTCCTCTACAGTATTTGCTTCCACATACTGTATAAACTAGGAGTCGGCAACCTGCGGCTCCGGAGGCGCATGCGTCTTTTTCCTTCTGTAGAAGGAAAAACGTTCTTAACGTTTTTAAATGCTGTAAAATTGTGCATAAGTAATATTCAATTTAAAAATTTCTGTCAACGTGTCTGTCAAACCGGCGTGTGAGCATCATAGACTGTGCGCATTGATCCCAAAGCTAAAAAGAGAAGAGTCGATAATAAGACTTGACTAAGAATGAAAATTAACATTTGTTTTCAGTCAATGAGGAAGGACTGCTTCATGTTTGCGATGTAATGAGAAGTTTCTATGAGATAATTGTATCTGTGCTTAGAAACTACAAAAATGGCCGCTCGGGGTGGAGTTGAACCTGTGTCACCTGGATGGGGGGGTGGTCAAAAGCGCCTCATTTGCATTTAAAGAGACAGCACCAAAACAGGTTGCTCTCAGACGCACCTTAGAACAGGTGTAGAAGAAAGGCCCGTGGAGCTACAAATAATGAGACTCAGACCCAGCCATTGCAGTTACGCTTTATATAGGCCACAAATTAATGATTTAGATGTAAAAATCAATTATTTGAAAACACGATATGTCCACTTTAAAGGACAGTGGTGACGATCCAGGACAATCAATACTCAACAACATTTATGGACATTGGTCATCTGCCCAGTATGGACCAAATACCAATGCGTCTTCTTTTGATTCTCTGATCTGTATTGGCGGATTCAACAGCTGTGCATAGTCCTCCGAGATAACTACTGTTGGGATCAATACATTGAATTGAATTGAATCGTAGAATGTCACTGTTTCCAAAAGTTTGGGGGCAATATACGGCTTTATCATAGAGTACCTAGTTTTAAATATGAGGGTTTTCAAATTGGACAAAGGGACACATTTATGATTCATGACAGAAATGTTAAATATTTTAGTGTGAATGGAGATAAACGCAAATCCCTCAGCAAAAACAGGAATGTTGTGAAGATGACAAAGTCTAGGGTCGTGTCTTTAATTCATGGTAGAGACCAAAGAGAACAAAGATATTACAGAATGCAAGTGATATTATACAGCATGGAGGAAGGAACACCGTCCAATCAGCATTCGCCACAGTGCCAGTAGCTTCAACCTTGAGATACCAAAACATGCAGTGGCAAAGTACTGGCTTGTGCATATGTTAGAATGATCAGTTAGAACTGTAGCCCTAAATCACAACAGAAGTCTCAACAAACAAAACCATTGAAATCACCAACAGAGATCAGAGAATCAACAGTTAAGACACAAAATATACACATGAGTTGGTCCATAGGGAGAGACCAATGTCCATACATGTTGATAAATGTCCATACAGGTTGTAGAATGTTAAAGTGTCCTGGATCATCACCACAGTCCTTCTAGCTGGACACTAACTGCCCAACAGACCCTCCTGAAACCTCGGGGAGACCCACATCCACCCAGGACCTAAGCTACAGAATGAGGACCAATGCCACGCAGCGGCCGCAAAGCGTGGGCAGAACTACAGTTGCTTCAAAGTGTCATGAAATCTCTAAAGTTGTTACATGGTAAAGTTGTGTCAAGAAATGAAGACAGAGGCAGCAGCGATTGCACAGCCTCTCAAGAGGGACTCGAACTGGAGGGACTCGGACAAGAGGAGACAAGGCTTTTTATATGATTTATATCAATGTGCATAAGAGTAGAAGATATTATCACTTGGATATAGATACTGTAGTAACAATGAGGGCAAAACAAAGACACACAGTGCTACAGATTATAATGTTTTGCAGTGATACAGATATAACAGGGGTCCTCAGTACGAAATATGCAGGTCAGATTACACAAAATTCATGAATATGTTTTACTAAGGGAACAATAGCATTACATGGTACTTTAAATACTCAAAACCGTACCTGGAAGCAAACCTAGTAATTATCTTGTATATCAATAAAACTTAATCCAACACGTCTCTCTTGAATTTGATGAACAAACTTGGAGGGCCCAGCGACGGCTGACGGGCCAAAAGGAAACACCCATGATGTTGTGGTCCAAAATGTGGTGAAAATGTTAACACTGATAAGAACCGTCATCTCAAAACATAAAACACTATGATGAACGCCTTTTAAACTTTACTACAAGAATTATGACTTCACTATGTCCAAACAGATAAGAAATGCCAGCCAAGGTGGATCCAAGTTATGATACATTATATTTCAAAGACCCATAAAAGAAGTCCAGCAGTCTTGGTCCTAGCCTTATGTATATATATTTTTCAGATTCAGATTTGTTGTAAAACCACACTTTTTTTATTTTTATTTTTTATTTGACCCATATTTAACTAAAGTCCGGTTGAGATTAAAAACGTATTGTTCAAGGAAGTCCTGGACAAAAGTTACAGCTACATACAATTACAGATTATAAAACAGTTAGTGTCAATGAAGAGGGCTCAAGTGCTCTCAATCTGGATCTAAAAGCATTCAATGAAATAAATTCAGATAATTTCCCGTTTTTTTTGCAGCACGTTCCATGTAGAAGGAGCAGCAAATACAAAACATGTGGAAAATTCTCCCAGTGTGCACCATACAACCATCCATAAAACAGGCTAAAAGGTAAAAGAAAAACTTGTCAAACTGTGAAATTAATCTATAAAAACAGATAAAATAACAAGTGCAAGATCATTAAAGTGCTTTGATCAAACTGATAAAAGCAAGTGGAAAGAAGCTGAAAAAAAAACATGTGTAATTATGGTGTTAACGCATTATTCCATTGTTATTGTAAATGGATTGTAGAATGGTAATAAAAGTCTGCAGAGACATTTATGCCTGGGTTCAACATCTATGAGTGTTCCTAATCCCACACACATTTGGGAATCCACCAACGCTCTGATTTATGCCTCGAATGAAATCAACTGAGCTCATTCATTTCCTTATGGAGCTTTTGCGCAAGTTCACCGTGGTAGACCCGGCTGCTGCTGCCCAGCTCCACAGGCCTGCTCTCATCCTCGGCTCATCATACCAGCAACGCCCACATCCAGTCAACCAATAACCGCCAGGACAGCAAGTTAAAAGCCGGAGACGCCCACTTCCCGGCCTTCTCAAGTCTGCAAGGTGTATGTCGCTAACGCACCTGTTCGCAATGCATGCGTTGTTCTGGAGGGGTCGCTTCTGCTCACGTGTTGCTCGTGCGCGTGACCCGGCTGTCCTCAGTCTGGCTGCTTGTGGTCTGCTCCTCCTCCGCGTCCCTGCACCTGCTGGGGGTCGCGCGCTGTGGTCCGCGTGTCTCCGCCGCTCTCCTCCTCTGCGGGCTCCTTTTGCGGGCTGCTCCGCGGGGTCCGTCCGCGGGCTCGATGCTGCTCGTCTCCTCGTGGTCTGCTGCTGCGTGCAGACGGTCTGGCCCAGTGCCGTGCGTGTCCCTGCCTCCGATTGGCGGTGCCGCGTTGTCCCGTTGCTTTTCCCACGTCTTCTGGCATGCGTGGTGGTGAGTGTGCTGACCTGCGGACGGTTTGTTCGCTGAGTCTGGGCTGCAGGCGGTTGGTTTTTGCCCTGCGCACTGGACTGCAGGCCTCAGTTTTTGCCCCGTGCTTTGGTCTGCAGGCTCCGTTTTTACATGTGTTCGAGCTAACTTGCAGCTACCCTGTGACTGGTGGGCACCCGAGCCTTTCATTGTGGCTCGTGTTTTGGGGGAAGATAGGATATATATATATTGATCCCACTCAGGGATCAATGCATTTATTTGTATTTGAGTGATAAAGGAGGGACAATGCATATTAAATGGCATTAATCGTTATTATCTGAGGGATATAAGAGGAGCAATGTGCATTAATTCAGATTCATGTATTTGCCACTTGCAGTAAAACCACGTTGGAAAAATTGCAAGACTACCCCAGCGTGCACCAGACGGCACACACCAGAGCTCTTGCCACGGCGCCATCTTACAGCATTAATCTTATTACTCACAGGTCACTATGTGAGTAATAGGTCACTAGTATTAAATGATTAGGTAACTAAACTGCAGCATGTTGCATTTTGAAAGTGCAGCAGAAAGTAAAAGGGCCCAATGTGAATCTGCAATGAGTGTGAAGTGGAGTTGGAGCTAATGAACGTGCGGAAAAGTGATCGTTCATGCATATCTGCCATAACCAAAGCAGCAAGATGGCTCCAGGAGACATCTGTTATTCGCATGGGAATGTTTCGGAATCAGATTAATTTATTCGCCATTTGCAGTAAAACCACATCGAAAAAAACTGCAAGACTACTCCAGTGTGCACCAGTGAGAATGTTGGTTCTGTATTTTCTTCTGATGTTTAATGATGGATTGGAAGGGCGACATGTTGACCACGGCCCTGCTCCTTTCTCGTCTCCCCGCCTTACGGAAACTTCAGGGCTTTGCCGGAGTTCCACAGCTGATTCCGAACGCACACTCAGTTTTGTTCCAGAGGCGAAATGTGTCCGAAGCAGCACTGAGAGAAATCCATGGAGGACGACGCCGGCGATCTCGGCAGGATGCAACCGGCACGTGTGTTTCGTTTGTATCCACGGGTGGGACTCCCGCAACTTCTCACACTTCCGCTTCCAGCCCTGTAGGTCTGCAGGCCCTCTGTTTTGCCCCGTGCATTGGTCTGCAGGCTCCGTCTGGGCCCCCGCGCACTGGTCTGCAGGCTCCGTCTGGGCCCCGCGCACTGGTCTGCAGGCTCTGCTTGTGCTGGTGCCTGTGCTGGTGCCTCTGTCGGCGCCTCTGCCTCTGCCTCTGCCTCTGCCTCTGCTGGTGCCTCTGCTGGTGCCTCTGCTGGTGCCTCTGCCTCTGCCGGTGCCTCTGCCGGTGCCTCTGCCGGTGCCTCTGCCGGTGCCTCTGCCGGTGCCTCTGCCGGTGCCTCTGCCGGTGCCTCTGCCGGTGCCTCTGCCGGTGCCTGCCGGTGCCTCTGCCGGTGCCTGCCGGTGCCTCTGCTGGTGGCTCGCGTACGCTTCGTGGGCACCTGCCGTACGGCCGTTGGTGGCTGCTTCCCGGCGTTCTCCGCACACTGCTTCTCGGGATCCCGGCGCTGCTCTCGCCGCCAGGGTGGCTCGCGCCCTGGGCAGGATCCAGTTCAAACCTCAGCGCACAAACTGCAAGCAGTAACCAGGCTTCCTTCCCTCATTGCTGCTCCATTCTCCTCCCCCTGACGGCTAACTGGTCCGGAGCCCAACTCAAATCCAACTAAATAGATGCAGAGCTGTGCTGAGCTGCCTCGCACCATGCTCTCAGTTTGCATCAGCTGTTCTGCTCCTTATTCTGCTTCTAATGGATGCTGCCCGGCTGAGTATGCCGCGCTGCGCTGGACTCGCACCTATGCTCTCAGGGTCGCCTCGGCGGTCATGCTTCATCTCTCTGCTTAAGCTTCTGCTTCTATCAGATGCAGCTTGCCGAGTAGCTGCGCTGAGCTGTCAATCAAACTCCTAATCAAAGGCATCCATAACTGTATTCTTCACTCTTCTGATCGCAGCCTCCCCATCATGCTGCCCATCCTGCAGCAGCTCTGAGCGGCACTGAACTCCGGCTCATCTTCCAAGTACATGTCTGCCCTCCTCGCAGCATCTTCCTGCTCGCCTTCTATGGCTTCTCTGCATAAGCGAGTTCACTACTGCTCACTCAACCTTCATGCGGTCCGAGACACGGCTTTCCCGACCTTTCCTACTATCCTGATTATCTACTCTCCACCTCAAGATTCTAAGCGTAAGGGCGCCTGCAACATCAATGGCCCTCTCCGATATGTCTCTGCCCCTACAGGTCTCCGCTTCTACACGGACGCTGCCCCTTCCGTGGGTTTTGGGGGGTTCTTCCAGGACCAGTGGTTCGCCGGGCCGTGGCCCGCTACTTTTCCCCGGAGCATCTCCTCTGCCCTACACGAGATATTCCCAGTGGTCGTGGCCTGCGCGCTGTGGATTCACAAGGGGCAGAGAAAGAGGATCTCTGTCATGTGTGATAATCTCGATGTAGTGGAAGCATTAAACAAAGGTCGCTCTTTTTCACCAACATAATGTCCCCTGACCATTTCAACCTTCATCTCAAACATTCAAAGATCAAAGGCGCCTGCAACATAATAATAGCTCGCTCCGACACATCTCTCTGCCCCTACAGGTCCATGATGCGTTACACTCGCCTCCGCTGTCAAAAAGGAGATTTTAACGGACCTCTATTTCTCACTCCAGACAACCTTGCCATGACAGCAACCTGGTTCAGAGCTCAGCTAAGATCCCTACTGCTCCTCTGTAATTTGTCTCCCTAGCTCTATACAGCCCACTCCTTCAGGATAGGCGCTGCCACGCGCGCGGCCTCGCTGGGGCTCCCCCATTCTTCTCTGCAACAGCTGGGGCGCTGGTCCTCGTCGGCTCTCTCCGCCTATCAGGCCAGATGCAACCGTCATCATGGCAGCACAACGACTACTGGCTTCCTCGTAAGCTCCCAGCAAAGCAATGCAAAGCAAAGCAAAAGCAAGCAAAGCAATAAGATCCTGGTGGTGGCACGCACTCTCCTCAAACGCTCTCCCGCTGCTGCAGCGTCTGGCTGAACATGATGTGTGCGCTCATGTTCTCAGCTCGCTCAAAGATGCCCCAGCTTGCAGCGTCTGGCTGAACATGATGCACAGAGCTGGACTCGCACTCAATCCCCGGAGTGGGTGCTGAGCGGCCCCGCGCTCATGTTCTCAACTCGCTAGGGAGAACACCTGCTTGCAGCGCCTGGAGAACATGACGCACCCCTGCTGCCCCGCGCTCATGTTCTCAGCGCGCTCAGGCCCCGCATCTCTGCCCAAACAGATGCGGGCCCCCAGCAGACGCAGCCTGGCTGAGCGACCGTGCGAGAAGCCTCGCACTCATGCTCTCAGGCCTGCGCAGTGCGTCCTGCTATCCCATCGCAGGCCCGCATCTTTGGGGGATTATGCGCGCAAGCAAGCGCCGCGCTCAACAGCATCGCTCCCGGGCCTAGGGCGCCAAACATGCTTAATCAAATAAAACTTCTAACTGCATTCCCCCTTGTGGGTCTCTCCAAGGTGAAATGGAGCTTTTGCGCAAGTTCACCGTGGTAGACCCGGCTGCTGCTGCCCAGCTCTACAGGCCTGCTCTCATCCTCGGCTCATCGTACCAGCAACGCCCACATCCAGTCAACCAATAACCACCAGGACAGCAAGTTAAAAGCCGGAGACGCCCACTTCCCGGCCTTCTCAAGTCTGCAAGCCTCCGCCGCCTGTTGTATATTTTAAATATAGACTAAAGGCAGATGTGAATTTGATTGACCCGGAATTGAACTCTTGTCTCTTTCCCAAGCAAAAAGACCTGTGCCCTCAGGGATTAAGTCACAAGGACACAGGATAAGCAGACGGGAATTATAAAAAGATATCGCCTTTGAACAAGGCGAATTATTAACGTTCGATAATAAACATTATCTGCTGACAGAGCAAAAGTCCCTCACCATCAGGCGGAAAGGGAATTTACCAACAGCATTCTAACGCCTCCCAGTGGACAAGGGACGTCAGCACACCCGGAAAGCCCCACCCTTGGACGCGTATGGATGACGTCATCGGAAGTCTCCCGTATATGTGCCCTCGGAGGGTTTTGAGGTCAGAGAGGACAGGGGCAACGCACAGGGATAGAGCAGGCATAGAATAGGAGCTCTTTTGTTGAATATTCTGTATCTGATTGTAAAGATAATTAAATGCAGATGTTAAACTTGGAGAATCTTTAGTCTTATTTCTGTACCAAATTGTGGACACGTTAGCCAAAGGGAATTATTGGCTTCATTTGGTAACCCGAGACGTGATTTGATACAGAAAGAAGACGCAAGATGAGCTCAGATATAGACTGGGTCCGTCGGCCGGGAGAATTCTCTCTTCTCCCTTCTCTTCGAAAGAGGTAAGCGGATCGTTACTTTTGAAAATCTGCACATTGTTTTAAATGGAAGAGAGAGAGAGAATTCGGCTCGGCGGACTGCAGCGTGGCCAGACGACCGCCGTGACGGGCGTTCTATCGGACGCGATAGAACAATAGTCAGGTTTTTCGACGTTTTTGAACCTTGAGGGAAGCATTGGTCCCTTCAAAAAAAGAATATACAGGAAAGCCACAGGGTTTATAGGTGCAAAAGAGGCACAAGTGTTTAGATAAATAGGATTAGAAAATAGGGACAGTTAGGGTCAGAAGTTATAGGATAATGAAAACTGGTACTGAAAAGGGTACATTTAAACAGAAGAAAAGCCAAGTATTTAAAATGTGGATTCTGATAATAATGATCTGATTAATGAGAAAAGAAGGAGCCACTTGGCTGTAGTATACGAGTTTCATGTGAAGAAATGACAAAAGATCAGTCTGGGAGTTTTTCTCTTGTATTGTGATGTAATGTCTCGATAGTTACAGAGAATCAGAAAGAAAAAAAAAAAGGATTCTACTGGAACCCTCGATACATTGATCAGGTAGCAAATGGTAATGTTTTCCATTACAGACGTATTTAAGGATAAAATGTAAAGTGTCGTTTGACGTGAGAAAAACTTTTACCACTGATTAAAACTTTGTCACGAGAAAAACGAGGAAAGTATTTCAGACTCCATGTTTCCTTTGTTCGGGAGGCCCCTCCCCTCCCTCGTTCTGTTCTCTCTCTCTCCCCTTCCTCGCTCTCTCTCGCTCTCTCTCTCTCTCTCTCTCTCTTTCTCTCTCTCTCGTGAAGAAAGAATTTTTTGTAGAAAATTACATTTATACACACGATAATGTTACTGACATGGAGTCATAGGATCACAGAACTTTGAGTTAGATTATAAAGAGGCATTATTTTATGTTTTATTTTTTATCTCCAAGGCGTCTAGACAAGTTTTTTCCCTACATTTTGGTGATATAAAAGTTAGAATGATCTTAGAGAGCATTATACTTTTGGAAAAATAGGGCTCAGGATAGCAGTTGAATGCAGAATTCGGTTTTCAGAATCTAATGTTTAAAATGTTAATATTAATTATTCCATAGGTTTATTTTGAATTGTAATTAATCATTGGTTTGGTATGGTAATTAACACACTTGTTTGTGTTTCTTGTTTGTCTGTTTTTTTCCGAGAAAACTTCTGTCTGTTTCATTTGGCCAAAAATCGTCTCTGCCACAAACCACAATCGGGCGCCATCAGCACGGACCATCAGCGTCTCCCCCAGACCCACAGGGGGCACCAAAGACAGCAGCATCGGCTGCAGCAGCTAACAGGAACTCTCGAAGAAGACCTCTCCGGCCTCCATTTCATGGAGAAAAAACAGACTTTTGCACAAACCGAGTGGAGTTATGTGCACGGAGAAGAACGTTGTGTAAACCTAACAAGAAGAAGAAGGACACACGCTGGTGTGCGTCAAAAAATGATTGAAAAGAAAAAGACATTGCAAGGAGAAGAAAGTGATTGAAAGAAGAAGAAAGAAAGTGATTGTTTAAAGAAGAAGAAAAAAGACATTGAGACAAAGACATTGGACACTTTGAGACAAAAGACATTGAAAGACGCCATGAGTAAAAGAAAGACATTAACGGACATTTGAGACGTGGCTGGCCTAAATGAGACACACAGAAGGTAAATATACAGACAGGCAACAAACGCACAGAGACATATTAAGTCATATTTACACATTTAGCTAGGTCATTCGTTCATAACACCACATTTAGCTGCATGAAAAGAATACAGGACATTCGTTAAAATTAATTAGACTCTTGCTTTAGCATGAGACACAAGGAGATTAGAACAGCAGTATATTTAAAGTAGAGGAGCTCTATTATTGAAACTAGTATTATTATTTAAAGTTATAGACGCGGAGAAGTTTAGAATTATTGATTTTGACTGCATGATCTTGGTAATACGGATATTTAAGGCAATTTTTCAACCTCTGAACCGTGGCTCGTTAATCATTTACGAACAATCACATGCACAGTTGAAACTGGTGCTAGAAAGAGAACTGCAGCTTTTAATGGACGTTGCATTTAATACAAAAAGTGGGATGTTCAGACAATAAAAAAAAAAAAAAAAAAAGGTCTGAAAAATAATATAGAGTATTTCTAAATCTTGGCTAAAGGTGATATTAGATCATATCTGATAACACATTGACGCAACACTGTTCATTGGTTGAAAACACG